AGATCTCCTCTTTCTTTTTATTTATAAGACTGGAAGGTCATTATTGAATCCCTATATGCAAGCAACAATGATCTTGCCATTTCCTTTGCTTTACTTAGGAAGCATGATGAGCAAGTGGACCCTGAAAGAACTGTGTTCCCACCAGTGTTGCCTTTTTTATGACTCACGATCAGATAATTTTGGGAACAGCACATTAAATAGCTGCAGACCATTGGCTGCTGACGAACACTGGGTGATATTACTGGCACTAGTAGAGTTGATTTTGGATGTGTGATAACACACCTCAAGTCTTGAGGGTATCATTCTCCAGGTCATTTGAAAAGATTCTAAATTTTATGGAGCATTTAAAACATTAACTTCACCTTTTTCTGGGAAAACATGTATATGTGCTAGGCACAGGACCTTTGCATGTGGTATTTGCATGTGGTATTTGTCACCTTTATATGTGTAAGTTTTCAAGTCCAGCATTACAGAGGCTGTTCACACACACACACACACACACACACACACACACACACACCTTCCTTTTATGGAAATTTTTCTTCTAAAAATATTTTTTAAAACTAAATAATTGCTTTGAACCTTGTTGCATTAAATCTTTTATAAGAAGTACTTCGGATTCAGAATGTATAAGTGTGTAAGTGTATGCCTGTCCTTTTCTCAGTATTGTAAGAGCACTTTGATGATCATACTCAGTGAATGATGAATGTTGTCAGCTCAACTTTAAAGATTTGACAGAATGTGTTGGGTCCAGTTTTTTTTTTTTTTTAAGAACAGCTGTAGAACTCTAGGCTTCACTGATTCAAACACAAAGACAAATCTATTTAATGATAACATCAGTCCTTAAAACCCAATGAACAATTCAAAGCTACTCTTCCTCCAATGGTTTCTCAATGCCTTAAGTCACCTACCAAGTTTGACATAAATGTTTAACTCAGCAACTACTAGGCAACAAAATATACTGGTTTAAATTTCACCTCTTTCTGCTTCTGTCATCTTTGAGTAGGGGGTCTACTAGGGATCAATCCAATGCTTGAGTGATGGATTGGCAGCTGTCTGGAGTGAACAGGCAAAATCTTACTTTAACATATTTGATAGGTCATTAAAAACTACTCTCTTATATTCAAAGTTTTGTTTAAACCTACAGTGCTGAGTGACAGGGGCTGCCATGGAAGAAGCACCAATTTGGGTATGGAACGAGAAGGCCTAAGTCCTGACTCAGCCACTTACTGTGTGACCAGAGACAAACTAGTACTTCTCTAAAGGTTGGTATCTTTATCTGCAAAGTATGCTATGTACCTAACAGAACTGTTATAAGTGCTCTTTGGAACAAAACACTGTTCAGATGTGAACAGTTCTGATAAGTAGACAGAAAGCAACATTATTTATACTCCTGGCACTTGGTTTTTCATTTACTTCAGTTAATGACTCCCAGCTTAGAAACTGTATCATTTTCATCACTCTTCTGGCTTTACTAAATTCCTGTGAGGAATTTATTTTATAACAACTTAATGATTTTCTGGCATTTTTCAAATTAGTGAAAACTGGGTAGGGAAATAAGATGTTTTTCATAATCACAAAATTCAAACACACCATTAATTCAACTTTAAATCTAGGCAAAAGGGTAGAACAAACAACAGGTAATAGAAAGCTGCAAATAGCACTCACAACAATTATAAGGGCACCTAAGGTAGTACAGCAGATAGACTGCCAAGCCTGGAGTCAGGAAGATCCATTGTCTTGAGTTCAAATCTGGCTTCAGACATCATTAGCTTGTGACCCTTAAGTGACAAGTCACTTAACCTCGTTTGTCTCTGTTCCCTCATCTGTGAAAGGAGCTGGTGAAGGAAATGGCAAACACTCCAGTATCTTTGCCAAGAAAACCCAAAATGGGGTCATGAAGAGTCAGACATGACTGAAATGACACAATTATGAGTAATATTCAGCATAGATGTCTGCTTTTCTTATACTTTGGATATAATTTCAAAGTTTACAGGTGAAAAAGAGGTAGTACAGATGATATAAAAAAATTTACTAAGTTTTGATAGAATGTTAAATTTTATTTTCAAAATTACTTTAAAACTTCCTTAGATCTGGGAATTTTCAGATCTATTAAAAAAATCACAAATAATTTTTAGGTATGGCTTCATAGTTTCTTCATAGATCCCAGCTTCCAGAAAAAGAACTTCATTAGGTTCATGCATTCAAAAAAAAATGTTCACTCTCCACTTAACATTACTCTTGGCCCCTCATGTTTAATTCTCACCCAAAACGCCAAAAAACTCAGTTGTTATACTCTTGTTTCTGCTGAAGGACCTTCAATTCTTCAGTAATCTATGTCACTGAGGGAATGGCCTTTTCTTAATCTTCATCCTCTGACAATTTCAATGACACTCTCGTGGACATGCTCTGTCCTCTCCAGTTTTTTTGTGATCATGCTCTCTCCTAGCTCCCCCTCTACCTGTTTTAACTACTGTTTGCTTTGCTGGGTTCATTTGAATTCCTTGGGGGAATACCCACTAACCATAAGCATTTCTCAAGGGCTTGTCCTTGGCCCCTCCATTCTTCCTATTTACTCCTTCCCTTGATCTTACCAGCTAATATGGATTCAATAATCATCTCTATGCAGATGATTCTTAGATCTATTTATCTAGGCCAGATCTCTAGTTTCTCATTACCAACTATTGGACATCTTGAACTCAAAAGTTCCACAGACATTCTAAACCCATGTCCAGAAGAATTCATCATTTCCCCTCCAAACCCTTCCCAATCTTTCTTATTACCATCAAAGTATCACCTTCCTCCCTGCCACTCAAGGTCTTGGGGTCATTCTTGCCTCCTTATCTGCACTCAACACACTATATCTGATCTGTTTTCATCACGTTGTTTTAATCAAAATATATCTCTCATACACATCTCTTCTTCTCTGACACTGCTACCATGAGACGTATAGACCCCTATGCCCTCACATCTAGATTATCACAATAGAGTTCTGATTGGCCTCCCTGCCACTCCAGTCCACCGTCCATTTAGCTGTCAAAATGATCTGCCTAAAATGCAAGTCTGAGCACAGCACTACCCTACTCAATCCCAGTGGCTCCCTCTTACTTTCAAGATAAAATTTCAAATCCTGTTTGGCTTTTGAAGCCCTTTTTAGTGTTTCTCAACATACTGTACAATACAGAGACACTGGTCTTGCTGTTCCTCATACCTTCCAGTTCTGTGCTTTTTCATTTGCTGTGTCCCCCATGCCTGGAATGCTTTTCCTTCTTGCCTCTGCCTTCTTTTTTCTTCAAGACAGCTCAAATCCTACCTTCCGCATGAGGCCTCTCTCAGCCTCCTGCACTTGAAGTGCCTTCCCTCCCATTTACTCTGTACAGTTCTCCCTGCCACTTTGTGACTTTCCCCATCATGGTTTTGATATATTGCAGGTCAGCATAAGAAATGAAATGCTTCCATCAGTGTTTTGTGCTCAAGGTTAGAAAATATCTTGCCAGCAAGGGATTATCCTTTAAGGTGTTATTGCTTCTGGACAATGCCCCTGGCCACCCAGAACCCCATGAATTCCACGCTGTGGAATTGTCTCCGTGTCACCCAACACGTCTCATTCAGCCTCTTGATCAGGGGGTAATATGGACATTTAAGGCACACTATACACACTACTCCATGGTTATTAAAAAAAGAAAAGTCTTGTTATACATGCAGTGTGTGTTCAGTATTATTCTCCTCAAATTAGTTTCACTTAAAAAAATTACATATTTCTTTATTCTTTTTCATATAGTATTTTTACTTAACATTGACCTGCATATAGCCTATGACTAAGTATTTAACCCAATTTTTACAATAAGGAATTGTAAACACCCCATTAAAGAAAAATAAAAAATTCAGACTTCTCCAGTATGAAGGGAGAGCCAAAAAATTTTACAAGGTTTTTCCAGATCGTGGGGATTCATGTCCCTACTCCCCATGATGGGGAAGGGATAACCGTACATCCCTCGTAATGGCACAGTTGTTAGTATGCAGTCTCCCCTATTAAGAATGTGAGGTCCTTGGGGCAGGGACTATCTTTTTGCCTTTCTTTTTTTATCACCAGCTCTTAGCAAAGTGCCTGATGCATACATAGTAAGTGCTTAATTAAATGCTAGTTAACCACCTTGTCTGGTGCTATGAGAACAACTCCAAGTTTGGAGTGAGAAGACTTGGCTTCCCCTTTGGCCTCTGTAAAGTGAAGGGGTTAGCCTAGATCTTAAATCTTTTTTATGTCATGGACTCCTTTACTTGTCTGGAGGAACCTAGGAACCTTTTCAATGTTGTCAAATGCATAAAATACATGGCATTACAAAGGAAACATATTATAGAGAAATAGAGTTAGCAAAATATTTGAATAGCAGCTTAAGAATCTTTGGCCTAGATAATTTCTAAGGTCCCTTCCATGAGCTTGGATTGTATATGAAGTTCTCCAACATAGTGGCAAGATTATTTGACAGTCAAATTTGGTGTTTTTCATAAAACCTTGTTCAGTTCTGTGATTCAGGTATTTAATGACAAAAGCCATGATTTAGCACCTAACAGAATCTGGGTGCTTGATACACATTTATGATGCTGATAAATCAAAATACTAGAATAAGTGCTATCACTATTTGAGGTAATTAGAATGCTTTGGGGATTAACTACTGTTGGTTAAGTCAAAACTCATTTTTGTTAAAAATCTTCCTAAAATGTATTAGCATAATGGACATAATGGAATCTATGTTCTTTCTAGTACTGATGCAGAAGAACTGGACAAATCTATACTGAATAAGTTACGCTTAATTAGAAAATGCTTTTTTCTTTTAAAAACAAGAAACAAAAAACCTAGACTCCCACCAATATAAGCTTGAAAAATTCTGATTAAATGAAAGTTTAAGTTAATCAAGGTTTTGCTGTATTTGCAGAGATGTCAGGGAAAGGTGGGTGAAACAGACTCAAGGGCAAAAAATAAAACTGTAGATTTCTCCAACTGTAGCACAATTCAAGTTTATTCCATTTGTTCTTGCAACACAAAACTTAAACACAGTATTATTTAGCATTCTGATGTTCATGAACTAGGATAATATGAGAAACCTAACCGTGTCAAAAGAATTACATTGTGGAAAAATGAACTCAAGATATATCAAAATGCACAAAAGCACTAGTTTTTTTTTCCATTACTGCTTAGAAAGATATGATTGTTCCTCCATTTACAAAATAGAATTAGGACAGCTTTATTTATTTATTTTGCATGCAAAACACTGCAATTGCTTATGTGGGAGTACACTCTCACCAGCTTCTTCTAATAGACACTCATGCGGACAATATTGCATGGGAGAAGGTAGCAGCTCAATTTAAGTTTCAAATGTAACTTAACAAAGTAGAGGGTGCAGAGGATGTAAAACTCAGTAAATATTCATAGGTCTTTAACCATGGTTTGGGTGAAAACAGTAAGGAATGAGTGGCCTACTTGTCAGCAGCTTCCACAAATTATATCTACCTGTCCTTTGTACACAACTAGAATTTAGGAAAGCGTGCTATGCATAGAAAAAACATATGGGTGTGTAAAGGAAAAGAGGGACTGTCTATTTCCAAGTTCATAGCAATTTGTCTAAGTGTGGTGGTGGTAATTTGACCCTTCACTGATGTGCTGGTGTAAGGTAAAGGTAAGCCACCTGTAAGTATTTACTTGAGACCAGAAGAGGAAATGAAAGAATAGAAAACCAAAGCAAAAGAAAATGCAAGATACCTTTCTGAGATGCTTAATTGTACTTCAAGAGGACAAAAATGTTAATTTGACCTTTCACTGATGCATGTAGTGCAAAAAAAAAAAAAAAAAGACAGTTTTAGCTTTTTTTTACCCAAAAATATTAATGTTAAGTTGTTGTCAATTTCTCTGCTAAAACTGTCCAGAGATACATTATAAATAATGAAGTTAGTTAAAAAATAAAAGAGAAAAAAATAAGAGAGAAACCCCAAACCATCTTGGTCAGTATTGTTTATCCTACGTTACTTTGTTGTCTTAGCAAAGGAGCTCTTTCTTCCCAATTATGGCGCCTGCTTACAAGATGGTAAAGAGAAAGGTGGAAAGGCAAAATTGCCTTTACTGCATTACAAGAAACAGGACAATTTGTACAAAGCATCAACTAGTTTTATATACCACAATGACTCAGGAAAGCAGAAGGCCTGGGAAAGAGTACAGTATACATTCTGCAATAATCAACTACAATGAAACACTTTGAAAGGTAAGGGAGAAACTGTGTAAAGGGTAAGTTCTAAGCCTTTAAATAGCATTATGCCAACAGGGGGAGAAAAAAAAACGAACCAAAACCCACACACACTGCACTACTTTAATGGAACTAAAATGGACAGATGCCCAACATTTTAATAGAGGTGTATTCATTTTAGTTCAGTGATGTAGGCCAGCCCTGATTAATAAGTTTTTATTGAATATAAAAATGCTGTATTAAGACAGCAGAAGTATCCAAATATACTTGTCATTTTTAACAATTATTCAGTGATTGGCTTCTCAGAATAAGGGAAATCATGGGGTTGGACTGGTTGTGGAAGTGGGAGGTGGGAGAGGAGTCACTCAAAGAGGAAAGAATAAAAAACCCACTATATGTAACCAATCAACAACTATTTAATATGATTTGGTACTGGCCAGGCTGCTGTTCTTAGTAATAATTTAACTCTCTGGAAGGATGCTGCACTATGTATAAAAATCTTCATTAAATTGTTCCCATTCCACAATCTGAATGCAAGGCCTTTTAAAAAATCTGAAGTACATTCAAAATTGTGTAACTTGGTTAAAAAAAAATCCAACATTTATTAGTAAACTAAAACTTATCTGGATGTTTCTGTTTAGTGCATACTCCTGATTTTTGTCATTATTTAAATGCGAGATATTAAAATTAGGTATTCACATTTTATTTTGCCATAATGCTCAGGAAACAAATATTATGTGGTGTGTACAATATTTTTTTTCAAGTTATAAAAACACTGTAATTGGATACTTATTCTAAATGTACAGAATCATTTTTAAAGTGTATCATACTCTATGTAATACATGATTTTAAAACAGGAAGTTATAATATATTATCCAGGTGGGTTGCCATACATCCAGCAGAAATTTTGAGATATTTGGTAACAAATTATGTTTGAGGAGACTAGGTCAAATTAAACTTAGCCAGGTGTTAAGCCCCATCCTAGCATGGTACAGTAAGTAATCTCATCCTATAAGAATCAACATCCAATGTTGGGCTGAGGAAACTAGTTCAAGTTATTTTCCTTGATTCTTCAAATAAATTTATTTCAAAGAAAAATTTCAAATAGAAATAAGCAGAAGAAAACCTTTAGTTACTAGGAAACTTGTTTCCTTTTTCTATGATACTAACAAACTTATGGCTATGATTCTACTTTTAAATCCCCGCTCACTGCTAGAAGAGTTTGAAAGTGTTTCATACATAATACAAATTCTCAAACTAGAGGAGAAAATGAATATATTGGAATGCTATTTCTTCTTCAGATCCCCCAAGATTTTATAAATAAGACTGGTCAGTTTTACTTAAGGACACATGAAACCCACATGGAAAGAGAGGAGAAATTCAAAGTCCAGTCATCCAGCTACTTAAGGGGTATGCCCCTCCTTATCTGAATTGAGCCTCTGTTTAAATCAAAGTTACTGAGGAAAGATTTGGTCACCAACCATAGGCAACACTCTTAACCAGGCCAGGAAATCCCCATTGCAGTGCAATCTTAAGGCAGAGGGCTATAGCTAATTGCTTATCTCAGCACCCTAAGTTTACAACATAGTAGCCATCACTGCTTCCACAGTTAGGGCTACAAAGTATACAGAAGTAGGCCTTTATATAATCAGACCTTTCAACACAATCTAATTAATAAAACTAGGTAGGGAGCTGCACAGGTTGAATGTTAAACAGTATATTTTGTTTTCGCCCTTCAGGGCATGAGTTGAATTTTATTAGAAACATGAGAGAGTGACATGATCAGGAATTCCAATAAAGTTCTGATCACATGGATTTACCCTCTCTAAAAATAGTTTTTCTGGTAGTCTGATTTATTATGAATTTCTCTCTCCCCTCACCTCTCTTAAAGTATGTAGCTGAAGAAGCTGGCAGACAGAGAGTGACAGACAGACAGGCAGCAGTGTGAGGCCACGGGAGAGGCATTCTTCCATATTTATCAGTCCATCCAGCCATCACTGAAGAAGAGCTTTGATCGCCTGGTTGTCAGTGGCTTCAAAAGCAGTTAGTCCATCTGGGCCTTTCACAGTTTTATCAGCACCCTGAAGAGAGAAAGAGAGTGAAAGAGAGTGAAGAATTGTTATCACTAAATGCTTGCTTCTGGTGGAAAGGTGAGGCTGTTACAACAAGATTACTTAGTTTAGGTGAATGTTTTAATTGAGAATTAAAAATTCCTTAACTATCTCCATTCTAATTTCCTCATCTACAAAATGAGGGAGTTGGACAAGATGACTTCTGAGGTACCTTTCAGGTCAAAATATATGATTCTCAGTAAGATACTATAGTTCTGTAGGATAATTCTTAAAACAAATTATCATAATACAAAGGAGTCTAGGAACTAAAACAGGTTGGGAGAAGGTCATGGATTAGATGGGAGAGAATGATTTTCTTATCAGCCAAGTATTTTGACAACATAGGATACATAGCAAACTAGCACTCAGGGCAAAGATGTTGGCTACAAATAGTTTTCTTTTACTGGACTATTGTGTATACAGTGCGTTATATTCTATACACAATCTCTTCACAAAGCATCTGTAATTAACAGGAGAAAGGAAATACAATTTGCTTTTACAAGGGAATAAAGTTATGAGAAGAATCAGTTATTTATAGCTTTCTCTTTTTTAAGACTGGAAAGTGATACTGCATAGAACACAGTGAACACACATTAAATCTACAGTGAGGATATAAAACTAGATGAATTTCCTAAGAATGTATGATATTGCTCACTTGATAAAAAATATAGGCTTAAAATAATGTTTTGTAGGTTATGGAGAATATTCTCTCCTCCATCCTAGTTCTCTGATGGATTACCACTACTCTAAAAACCTAAGTTAAGGAAAAAAATTTTATGGAAGTACTACCACATGGATAATCTATGTGTAATGGCTGAGATGTCTTTTGAGCTGTGTAGTCTTTGTACTTGGGTGTGCACATGAACACACACATACTGTATTCATCAGCCTATCTCATCTCTATGAAGTCTATTTGTTTAACTTGCCCTCATTCACAGATGACACCTATAACCTCGTAGGCCCTGTGTCAATGTTCTCATCATCTCTGTATGTCCACTCAGCCCAGAGTTCTTGTTCATGGGGCCTCCAACACCAGAAGCTACCCTTGTCCCCCTTCATTTTTCCTGTTTTCCACTTAATCACTGTCACTGGCTCTACTGTGTGTATGCTCTCCTTTATTTACTAAATTCTTTACCTTTTCCCCAAACCTCCCTGCCCTAATTTGGAGGTTTTTAACTTGAAGTCCATGTACCTTTTACAAAATATTTTGATAAGACTGAATTCAATATATGGTAAGTTTTCTTTGAATGTTATCTTATCTATTTAATAGTATTATTCTGATAGGTTTCATCAGACTGCCAAAGGGGGGTTAGGGTTCCATGACAGAAAAAAGGTTAGAACTCATCGCCTAATTGTAACCTATCTCACTGAAGACACTATACTGCTTCCTTCTCTTTCCAGTCCCTTTTATTACCATGCCATCTCACCTCCAGACACCCATTTCCACCTGGAGAGGCAGCATGGTACAACAGAAGCAGTGCTGAATTTGCTATTAGACCTCTATTTTAATCACAGCTTTTACTAGGGTGTTGTCTGGTTTCTCTGGGCTTCAGTTTCAGATCTCTGAAATGAGGCGGTTGGACAAGAAGGTCCCTTCCAACTGTCAAACTGTGATCCTTCTTTGATGACCTTAGCACATGGCTCATAGTCTTCCTTTTGTCATCCCGCAGAGTATCATTGTCTCAATTTAGACTATCTTCTAAACCTGCGGTCTCCAAACCCTTTTGTTTAGTCACCTGTTAGCAAACTATTTTTTTTGAGTATACATTCCTAATATGCATATATTTATTTATAAATTATTTATCTATATGACTGTACCATTAATTATGTACATTATAAAATTACACAAACATGGACATAAAAAATAGATGGGATGAAAAATGAAACATTTGATTCTTGAGAAAAGGGAGCCAAGCCACTTAAGTTCACTGAGTAGTGGTATGACTACTGTCAGACCTGTACTTCAAGTCTCCGCGTAATTGTTAAATTATAATTTCCCCGAGGAGCACCAATCCCAGTGGTGGGGAAGGTTGGGACCATGCAGAGGGTAGAGTGGGGGAATGTTAAGGGATAAGAGTAGGTAAGAATACCATGCAATCTATTTTCTCATCCTTTGGCTGATAACACACTCTATGGGTCAAGCCATACATAGTCCCCTTAGATCTCTACTTCGGAAACCAGTGTTCTAGACTCTCAGAACTCAGTCTTCTAACTTGATACAGTTTTAGAACTGCAAGAGTTCCTAGAGATTAACTAGTCCAACCTCCTCATTTTACAAATGAGGAAAGTGAGGCTCAGGAAGGATAAGTGACTTTTCCAAGAACACAAGAATATTAAGTGGAAGATTTTATATTTAACCTCATGTTGACTCTAAAGCCTTCGATCTTTATCCCAGACCTTTAATTTGGCATTTCTTGTCTTGCCCCAAAACATACTTACCTGCCATCCTCTCCTACTCTACCCCAAAGGCCTATCAAAACTATTCTCACAGAGAATGTTAATCACACAACCTGTCCCACTTTATCAAATTCATTAGCTTTTTCCTTACTACAACTCCTTATCTTATACATTATGGTCAACTACTTCATGCTATCCTCACAAATCACCCTGGATCCTCTGACCTTTATGAGGTCAATTCAATCCATGACCTTGCACTGCCCAACAAGATTCTCTAGCATAGGATCCACAGTATCTCCAGACTTTCCTCTCCTTACATCCCTAATTCATTCTCAATCACTCTCATTCTCTATTCACACATCTCCTCCTAAAAGTGGGATGTAAAGACATGTGGTATTCTCTCACGTATAAATCTAACTTCATTTCAACACAGTATGGCTGCTACATCTATCTACTTATTCTTTATTTCCACCCTCAAGAGAAGAGTTCCCCCAGTTGTTTTAGATGGACCAACAGCACTCCCTGGTGCAGACAAACTTTTTGAGGCAGCATCTCTTCACCTAGGGAATGGCACACACAGATTCCATGGATTTAGAGCTACAAGGGGCCTCAGCGATCATCTAGTCTAATACTCTCATTTTACAGGTAAGGAAATGGGTCCTGGAAGGATAAGTGACTCGTCCACAGTAACATAAGTTGGGAAATGGCTGAGCTGGGATGTGAGACAGTCCCTCTTTTTTTTTTTTTGGCTAGGCAATGGGGTTAAGTGACATGCCCAGGGTCAGACAGCTAGTAAGTGTCTGAGGCCAGATTTAAACTCAGGTCCTCCTGACTCCAGGGCTGGTGCTCTATCCACTGCGTGACCTAGCTGCCCCAAAACAGTCTCTCTTGCTGCCAGAGCCAGTGTACTTTTCTTATTGCTCCCACTCGAGTCTTGTACTCCTTACATGTGCAGTTAATTACACTAGAGAGGAATCTTATATTTAAACAAGAACCCTTCTTCCTTTTTCATTTCTCTTTCCCACCCCTATTTTGTTATAGTTATAAGCCTAAAAATGACTTATCAAGAATCAGTCTAAAAGTAGTGCCAGTGATACATCTGTATTAAGGAAAATCATAGGTTTCGAATAGAATGGAAAATGCTATCCACATCCAAAAAAAGAACTATGGAGTTTGAATGCAGATCGAAGCATAATGGTATTTGCTATTTTTTTTTCTTCTGTTGTGTTTTGTTTCTTCTTTCTGGTGGTTCCTCCTATTGGTTCTAATTCTTACTTACAACATCACTAATGTGAAAATGTTTAATAGGAATGTACATGTATAGCCTGTATCAGATTGCGTGCTGTCTTGGGGAGGGAGAGGGAGAAAAATTTAAAACTCAAAAGCTTATGGAATTGATTGTTGATAATTGATAATTCAAAATAAATTAATTAAAAATAATAAAAAAAGAAATAAATCTAAGTACCACTGCAATCAACCCTTCAAGTAACAGAAAGTAAACAGTTCTCAAATAATGGGGATTTCACAAGTCTCTACCTGCCCTCCCATCCTCTAACTGAATCTGCTTTTCTTTAAGTACCAGCAATCAATATAAATGATTTATTCAAAATGTGTTATTGCTATGTTTTATTGACCAGTACCAGTATGCAAATGTCTCACTTTCTATTTTTAAAATAATAAATGTACATAATGTTTTTCATAATTGAAGAAAACGTTAAATTTCAGATAGGTTAGTGAAAACAATGATGGAATTTCCCCCTCTATCCAAGTTCATGGACCTAAGGATAAGAACCCTCCACCTATAATGAAATCACATCAGGCTTCCAACAACAATGATTATTATGTGATCGGAGCCTAGAAAAAGTATTTGTTATACTGAGATTTCACTGTAGCCAGAAAAACAATACATATACAATATATGAGGAGAGGACATAGTGTTGGCCTATAAAACCTTTTTTCTTTTTAAATTTTATTCATTTTAAAATTAAATATAAAATAAGAAAAGAAAAAAAAAGAATATTTCCATGTACACAGCATAACATGAGAGGATTTAATATAAAACAATAGATTTCCATTTCACAAAATCCTATGTAATAAATCCTACACACTTTTCAAAGCAACCCAGCTTTTCTGTGCTTCCTTCTAGGTTTTCTTTTGTTCTTTGTTGTGTATTTTAAATTTTATTTGATTACCCCCCTCACCTAGAGAAGGTTGCAATTAAGAAGCAAACACACACACACCCCCACATGACACCCCCCCCCCAAACCCCCATATATGTAAGACCATACTATGTAAATGTCTATTTGTCACTTCTTTCTCTGGAGGTGGGTAGCATCTTCCTTCATAGGTCCAAGTCTTTCCATACTTTTCTAAATCAACCAGCCATCATTTCTTATATCACAGCAGGATTCCATCACAATCATATCCTGAGACACTGTCTATGAAGGTCCCCCCCTCCCCCTTGCAATTTTCTGCTTTCCTTCTAATATTGCCAACATTGGTTTTATTTTTACAAGAAAATTTTAATTTAAAATAATCAAATTACCCATTTTACACTTTAGCAATACTCTCGC